TTTCTTTTTTTTTGTAATTCTTATATGAAAAACGTTTTTAATATTTAATTTTTTAATTATTTTTAAAAAAAATTTTCCAAAACTTTTTTTTTCTATATATAAAAATAAATTTTTGAGCTCCGGCATGGTAGTGGCGATGGGATACAAATCACACGTTTAATAATCAATTTTTCATTAAAAAAAAAAAAAAAAAAAAACGTAAAATTGAAAATCTTATTAAACAAACGGTCAAACTCGAACGAAAATAATAATAATAATAATAATAATAATAATAATAATAATAATGAATCAAAGAAAAAAGTAAAAAAAAGAAAAAAAGAAAATGTTGTTTGTTCAATTGTTTCACGACGTGCCAACTCTTGAATTCTCTTAACTCAAGAGATTATGATAAGACAACATAGAGTTAGAATCGATCGAGTTTTTGTTTCTTTTTCTCGAAAATTGATACGACGCTCAAGAAAAAAGAAAAACCTAATAAATAATAATAATAATAATAATAATAATAATGTTTTTAGTAGCATTTAAAAAAAAAATTGTTAATTTGTTTTATTTTCTTCTTGTATTTAAATAAATAAAAGTTTTGAAGGCTTAAAAAACCTTCTTTACTACACTATAATCTCTCAGTTTAACGTTTTTTTTAAAGAGTAACAACTAATACGAGTAAATAGAAAGATTAAAATTTTTTATTTTTTTCATCATTTTGGATTGCAGAACAAAAAAAAACAAAAAATTATATCAACTTTATTATTATTATTATTCGTTTCAAATTTTAAATTATTAATAATAATAACAATAAATTAAAATATTAAATTAAAATAATGTTTTTTCATTTGAACGTCGTGAACATTTTTCATCATTTTTTTACATTATTTAAATTTGATTTCTAATATTTTTTGTAAGGGTGGGGGGGAGGTAGCTAGGGGAGGGAGGGTCTAAAAAAAGAAAAAACGTACGGCGAAGAGTAATCTTGTTTGAATAAAGCAAAAAAGTTTTGCTACAAGTTGACTTTTCCGAATGAAAAATTATTACTTTTATTTAAACTTACTTTATGGAAAGCATCATCATCATCATCATCATCATCAGTGTCGAAATGATAATCATGAAAAATTTCTCATTTGATTCTCCCTTGAAAAAAAAAAAAACAAAAAATTGTAAATTATAAGTAAATAATAGTTAAACATTATGCGAAAGCTCATCAGGGGTTTAATGATCCCAAAAAAAATCATCCCTGTTTTTTCATCTTAACCTTTTGACTCCTTTACTACATTTTCCCATTTGTCTTTAGGGATTTAATGTTTAATACAACCTTTTTGTTTTTTTTGTTTTTTTTCATACAAACTGCAATCGTGTCAAAAATAAAAAAAACCTTTTTCGAATGTCATAAGGTTACTTAATATTTTTATTAATTGACAATAACAATGGGAAAAAAATTTTTTTTCCTCCTTAAGTTACGTAAATAATAATAATATTGTTATTATTTAAGCATAATTAATAAGATAAATAGTGTTTGTGTTACGAAAACCGTTACAGAATGTGTACATGTAAATAATTGTTGAGATTCATTTTTTTTTTTTTTTTTTGAATTAATTCAACAAAGTTAAAAAAAAAAAAGAAAAAAAAAAGGTTTTTTTTTTAACCTAATAATAAGAAAATATTTTTACTGTCAATGGGATAAAAAAAAAAAAAATTGTGAATAGAGAATAAAAAAAAAAAAAAACCGAACCGAACGGGGAACGCGCAAAACCGAAAAGCTCAGAGAACGGAATTTGACCAAGAATCGTTCAGTTGTGCGCGTTATTTCCGCGCCGTTCGGATGTTTTTTATTTTTATTTTTTTTTGACTTTATTTATGTGCGACGATTGTATGAAAATACCTGAAATTTAAATAATATTTTACGTTTTTTTTTAATAAGAAGGTTCATCGTTAAATTCAACAGTTTTTTTTTTTTTTTCATATTGTCGAGAAGATATATCACGAATATTATGATATCTTGAACTGAAAGGGTAAAATTCTTTTCTTTTCTTTTTTTTTTTTTTGTTTTTATTTACACAACAATAACAAAAAACCAAATCCACATTATTATTATTATTATTATTATTATTATTATTATTATTATTATTATTATTTTATTTATTTATATTAAATAGTTAATTTTAAAATAAAAAAAAAGGATTAAAACCTTTACGAAAAACGTTTTTATTTTTTAAATTAAAATTTATTTAAATAAACTTATTATTATTATAAATAACTGAGATTGCATTGTTTGTTTGATTGTTTGTTTGTTTTTTTTTAATCACGATGTGGCGTTAAAAGTTATTTGATTGATAATTTTCATTCAAAAAAAACAACAAGAAACAATTTGTTTTTTTTGATTAAAATTTAATAATTAAATATTATAATTAATTTGACGCGTCAATAATATGTATTCATATTAATAATAATTGTCAATAAAATAGGAGGAATAGGTAAAATGGTAAAAAATTCAAGTTACGGTCCTGAAATAATGAAAACTTTGTCCGTTTTTATTTAGATTTTCCAGGTCGGACTCTTATTTAATTTTTTTTTTTTTTTTTTCAAATCCGCGTATTTAAACGAAATTAATAAATAAATAAATGTTTTTTTTGTAAGATAATCTATCAATTAATAATAATAATAATAGTAATAATAATAATAATTTTTCTCTATTGAAAATTTTCAATTTACTTTAATAATAAATGCTGTTAAAGGAAAAATAAATACAAAGTAAGTTTTATAAAACTTTTAAATCCTTTTAACGTATTATTTTATATATATATATAATCGTGTATTTATTATAGTAACACTACAAAAATTTTTTTTTTTCTCTGCAAGTTTTGTACTTTTACAAGCGCGTGGGAGGAAACGATTGAAAAAAAAAAAAAAAATCATCATATAATAATAATAATTTTTTTGTATTTTTTCCCCTCCCTCCTCCCCTCTCCCTCATATTATTTTATATTTGACCGTTTTTTTAATTTTTTGTTGTTGAAAATAATTAGAATAATTAATAATTATTTACGATTATTAATTAAAATTATTATTTTCATCATTTAAAAATATTTGAAATTTATTAATTTATTTGTTTGGACTCCCACAAAACAATTAAATTTTCAAATCCCAAACAAACAATACGTTGAAATAAAATCCATATAAACGATAATAATAATAATATTTATTTAAAAGAAAAAAAAAGCCTCCCCGAATAAAAAAACAAAATGAATTCAGTGAAAAAACCTACGATATTTTCTAAATAAAAGAATAAATATAAAAACTACGTGTGACAATATTGTTTTAACCTTAAAACCTTTGACCGATATCCTTTTATTATTATTATCATCATCATTTCATATATATATATATTTGTATTCGCGCGACGTCATATATTTTTTTTTTTTTTTTGAAAAATGAATCAAAAAAATTTTTTTTATTTTTACTAAAACTATTACTTATTTTCTTATTACATTATTATTTCTTTCGATCAAATAATAATAATAATCTAATAATGTATTTTCCTGTAAAAACTTTTGTTTATCTTAATTGGAAAAATTTGAGTCATTGTTTAAAAAGTTTTTTTTTTTTTCGTTGTTATTTCGGTTAATTTATTTCCTGTTTCCTGTTTTGATTTTTATTTTTAAAATGTCAAAAAAAAATTTTTGCCAAAAAACAAACAAACAAAAACAATCGTTTTATAGTAAAAATAAAAATAATAATAATAATAATAATCTCATATCTCTTATTGTCATATCAATTATTTATGTTTTTTTTTTTTTTATAATTTATGATAAGAAATTATTTATTGAAGAAAAAATATTAAAAAAAAAATAAAAAATAAAAAAAAAAAAATAATAATAATAATAATAATAATAATAATAATTAAACAAGAAAATGCTTCCTACCTAATTCTTTCCATCTTTGTTTTCACGTCTTTTTTCTCTCTCTCTCTCTTTCTCCCCCTTAACATTTTCCGTATTTTTATTTTTATTTTTTCTTCTTCTTTTAATTTATCTTTACGTGGAAAACTTTTTTTTTCTCCCTCCAATTTCCACTATTGTTCTCATTGGTATAATAATAATAATAATAATAATAATAATAATAATAATAATAATACACTTAATGTTTAACACTTTTTTAAAAAACTAATTAAAAACTTTTTTTTTTATGTATATATATAAATATATTAATGATTGTAAAAACAAAAAAAGTTTTTTCTGTTTTATTTACATGTACGCGTTCGATTGTTTTTTTTTTTTTTTTTAATAAAAATTTATTAATAAAATTAAAAACGAATTATTATTTTTTTTTTTTTTTTTAATAAAACTTTTATTAAATTTTAGGAAAAAAAAAAAAAACTCTTCGTCGTATTTTACGTGTTAATATTAATTTTAAAATACGCGTCCCGCCGCCTTTTTCAAACTTTATTTTTTCTGTCATTGTTTCGAAAAAACAAACAAAAACAAACATAAACGACTCCATTAAAGGAAAAAAAATTTTTTTTTTAAATTTCTTCCCCATTATTATTATTATTATTATTATTTTTATTTTTAATAATTTTAAGCTCAGGTTGTGTTAATATTTTTCGAAAACCTTCTTTTAAAATTGATTAAAAAAAAAAAAAAAAAAAAAAAAAAAACCTACCGCTCGTAATAAGTTTTTAATAAAGTCTAAAAATAATAATAATAATATTAATAATTCATCGCCATTTAATGGCGATGAATGAAAACAAAAAAAAAATAATTTTTCAAATTTGAAAATTTCATGAATAAGCATTTTTAAAAGCACATTAAAAAAAAAACTTTTTTGACGAGTTTAATAGGCATAATAGCGATTAAAAAAAAAGGAAAAAAAAGGGTGAAAGAACAACAAACGACAAACAAACAGGTGCATTAAACAAATTAACCAATAATAAATAAGAGGTCAAAGAGGAAACATAAACGGAAATTCTTGTAACAGAATTTTTAAAATTGTCCAATAATGTCTGTCGCTGACGTTACAAAAAAAAACCGTTTTTTTTTTTTATATTTTCTTTTTTTTTGTATTTTTCTTTTTTTTTTTTTTTTTCATTTTCACGCATGCCTAATCCTGGCAAAACAAAAATTTTCCTTTCCGATCGATTGGCAGACATTTTTCTTTTTTCTTTTCTTTATTTCTTTCTTGTTTGGTTTTGTTTTTCTTTCTCTAAAATTTAATGTAAATATTTTAAAATAATTTTTCTTTTTTTTTAAATTTCCATGATTGTATGAATGAATTAAAAAAAAAAAAAAAACGGAAAAGTTTTTATTCCGGTTATAAATTCGTTCAAATCCCTGGCCCGGATTGTAAAATTTTTTTTTTTTCTTTTCAAACGTTAATTTTATGATTTGAATTATAAATGAAAACAATAATAATAATAAATTTATTTATATTTAACCCGCAAAAATTACTGATAAATAATAATCATAATAATAATAACTATTATTATTACTATTATTATTTCATTTCGATAATTCTTTAAAATTCTTTAAAAAGTTTTCTCTTTCATTTTGACAAAGTTTATAAAATGTTTAATTTAATTTAACAACAATTCCTTGTTTTGTTTTTTATGAATTAAAATTTCACGTTTAATTATTATTATTATTTTCACTATTATTATTATTATTATTATTATTATTATTATTATTATTATTATTATTATTATTATTATTATTATTATTATTATTATTATTATTAATTTTAAATATAAATTTAGACGTTAAAAATTCGACACACGCATACTTTGACGACGAAATGACGTTGCTTACTTTTTTTTTTTTTTTTTACAATAATTTAAAAGAGTTAATTTTCAAATAAAAAATTATATCACGTAATATATTATTATATTTATTATAATTTTTATGTCATAATAAAAATATATACGTCTAACATTTGTTTTTATATATATATATGTGTGTGTGTATGTAGGTGTGTGTGTTCGTGCGTACTTAAAAAAACTGAAAGGAAAAACCTTTTTTGTAAAAGAAAAAAAAATGTTGTTTCAAATTAACGAAAAATAATAATAATATTCGAATCCAGAGTAAAAACTTTTGTTTTCCATAAAATTTAAAAAAAAAAAAAAAAAAATTTGAAAAACGACAGTCAAAATTCATTATTTCACTGACGTGTTAAAAATCATTTTTTTTATTTTTTAATTGCTTATATATTCAATTGTTATTTTATAAAAAGGTAGATTCTTTTTAAAATTTCTATATATATATATATATTATTTAATTATTAATTTTTCACATGTAAATTTTCTATTATTTTGTTTTATTTATTTTTTTATTTTTTTTTTTTTTATTAAAAAAAAAATTTCATAATTTTACTTCGAGTATCTGTTTAATATTAACTCAAGCGAAAATTTTTATATAATTCAATTTGGAGTTTTTTTTTTTTTTTTTTACTTGAACTTTTGCAAAGTTTTTTGATTATTATATATATATGAGCGTGTGTATGAAGTTTGAAGCTTTATAATTAACGCCTGAAATAATAATTTCATTATTTATTTTCCAGGATTATTTCTTTTATCCATTCATCAATTCTCCCTCTCTCTCTCTCTCTCCCCATTGGAAAAAAAAACAAAAAAAAAAATGTCTTCTTGTCCATTCAGAAGACAAAAATCAAACAGTCGACTATTGGATGAGTCTTCGCCTCCGGGAAGACAAGAATCATTGGGAGGACAAGATGATGAAGATGATGGGCAAACGTTAAATTTAAAAGTCTTACACGAAGCCATTAAACTTTTACTACAACCGGGTGTAAGTAAATTTTTTTTTTTTTTTTCAAATTAATAATTTACCTAAACAACAAACACACGCACACGCACACATACACTCATGTATATATATTTATATATAATTGAAAAAGGGTGATATCCAAGTATGTGGGGTTTCTCCGCCCAGTGAATAAAAATAAAACTTTTTTTGTTTTTTTTTTTTTTTTGTTTTTTACTTTCTTAAAATTGTTTCTTATAAATTTATATTGTCAGTTTTGACACGTGAAGTGGTGATGCAGTAAAATCCACTTAAAAGGGTTTAAAACCTTTGAATGGGTCAAGTGACCATGTCGAATAATGGACAAAACAAACTTTCCTGGAAAAACCAAATAATTTTATTAGCCTATAAACGAAATAAAAACAAAATTTTTATTTGTTTCCAAAGTTTAAATGGAAAAAATTTATGTATATATATTTCTATTCTCTTCAATATATATTAAAATGATGTTAAGAAAATAATAATAATATTAATAGTGACTAAAAATCCACGGGCATGTCAGTTGCATATCTTCGAAGGTATGGAATTCCTTTCCATCGGGTAAAATTGATTCGGTAAAAATTGATTTAGTTTAGAAAGACAAAACGTATCTCGTATTAAGCGATATTCAAGCATTTATTCCTTAGGGAAGAAAAGTAGAAACCGGGAATAAAAGAGTCCGAACAAGCACATAAAACTAGCCGTGATTTAAAATGAAGGTTAAAAATATATATAAATAGTACATGTGGACAACCACGATAAAAAATTAATGAAAATCTGTTAAAAGGTTTTTTTTCCCAGTGAAATAATAATAAAAAAATAATAATAATAATGATAATGATAAAATGATAAAAATAAAAAAAAAACTTTTTTTTTTTTTTTAATTTTTACTTTGTGATTTTTTATTTTTCAACGTCCAGCTTATTAAAAATGAAAATAATTTAGTGAAATTAATAATAAAATATCATCATTATCATCTCTTTAAGAAAATGATAAAATGTTTTACCAGATTTTCATTTCCTGTCTTTTTACAATTTCCTTTTCATAATGAAAACTCAAAATCAAAAAAATGACTTTCTTAAAAAAAATAATTTCTCATTTCATTTTCAGTTTCGTTTTTTTTTTTTTTTTTTTTTTCTTGTTCCCCCTTAAATTATTAAGGACAATTAATAATAATAATAATAATAATAATAATAATAATAATAATAATAATAATTTCAATTCATTTACCCTTATTTATTAAAAAGAAATTTTTTTTTTTAAAACACACTATTGAATTTACCATTATTATTATTATTATTATTGTTTATTTTCGGATTTGACGACGCGTTTGCGTTTGACGTTTACACCACCACCCATTCCAGGTTTTTATCAAAATCCTTATTTTCTCATATTCAAGGCATACATAATAAATAAAATAAGAATCCGAATAAAAAGATGTTTTTTTTTCTCACGCACAAAACAATTTTTGTTTTTTATAGCAAATGAATAGTATTTCAAGGATACCACAATTATTACAATCACGTTTCCTTTCACTTTTTTTTTTTTTTTTTAACAAAATGTTTTGACAATTTTTATATAAAAGAAAAAAAACTTTTCATCTTTTTATCTTTTTTCCAACAATTTTAGTTTATTGTTATATATTCGCACGTGTGCGTGTTTTATCAATTATTATTATTATTACAATTATTGATAAATTTTGTGTCCAATAATCTAAAACAACGGTAATTAAAACTCCATGTTTAAAAAAGAGCTCGAATATTATTATTAAATTTATATACCAATAAACCTCTTGAAATTTTTTTTATAAATATTTAATATTTATATTCAATTCTTTTTTTTTTTTTTTTTTTAACTCAAAAAAAAGCAACCATCAGATCAAAATATCATGACAAAATATAATAATATTAAAATATAATTAAATTTTTAAAAAAATTAATAATATTATTATCATTATTTTCTTTTCAATGTGAACAATTACCTTTTCATTTTTTCATTTTTTTTTTTTTCATATTAGAATCTGCCAACAAAAAAAAAAAAAAATGTAATTTTTATATTTTCAATAACAAAAAGTGGAAAGGTTTCAAAAAAAAAAAAAAGGAAAAAAAGGGAAAAAGAGGGGGGAAAAGGGAAAAAGGAAAATGCTTTTGTAATTTTATTAAAATGCCCTCTTTTATTAGTTTTTTTTTTTTTTTTTTTTTGTAAAAGGGAAGAGTTATTTAAAAACAAAATAAAACTGAAAATATGTTGAAGTAACATAATACCTTGTTAAAAAATAAAAAATAAAACTTTTAATTGAAAACAATATGTAGTAGTAGCACATAAGCTAATAAATGCTTTGACCAGATTTTTCATTATAATAAATATTAATTAAAAAAAACATAATGAATGACGTGTTACTTGTGCGTATAATTTTTTAATCAAACACACGAACGCACGCACACACACACATATATATTCGTTGAATAATATGAAAACAAACTTTTATATTGTTATTATACTTTTAAATTACCATTAAAAACATAAAATAAAATAAAAATAATAATAATAATATTTTTTTTAAACAGGTTTAATACATAAATATAATCGTGCAGTAGATAAAAAAAATTAAATTTAATTCAATCAAAGTTCATTTGACATTTTTCAAATTATTTCTAATAATAATAATAATAATAATAATAATAATAATAATAAACAAAAATAAATATTAGTAGTAATAAAAATTAATTTGAAAATGAGTAAAAAAAAAAAAATTTTTTTTTTTTTTTTTTTTTTACTGTAAAGCCGATGTTACATGAATAAAATGTAAAAGTTGTTTAACAATATTTTATTGTGCTGTAAAAGTTAATGGAACCAGCTCCAGAATGTCATTAAAAGTAAAAAAAAAAATAAGGAAAAAGGAAAAAAGAAAAAAAAATAAAAAAAATTTGAGAAAATTATTTTAGGTTAATTTTTGAAAGGTTTTTTTATTTCTCCTCACTCAAAGAAAAAGTAATTAAAACGTATTTAAATATATATATATATATGTATACGTAAGATAAAACGACGAAATTTTTCATTTTTCATTGATGTCATCAATTTACTTATTAAAATATTTATTTTTTTTAATTTAATTATTTTAACGAATAATTTAATTAAAAGTAAAAAAAATAAGTTTTTACTTGACATCATTTATTTACCGAATAAATTAAAGTATTGAAAACGATTTTTTTTTAAAAATACAATCCAATCAAACGGGATAATAATAATAATAATAATAATAATAATAATAATAATAATAATGACGATTTTTTATAATCATTTTATTGAAAATCAATTTTTAACGTTTGAGACGTTATATTCAACTGACCCAAGTGAAGGTTTTCTTTCTTTTTTTTTTCACGGTTAATCAATCGAATTTCGACGGTATAATTAATCAAATGAACATTTAAACCCTCTTATTATCATCATTCTTTTATATAAAAAAAAAAAAGAAAATTGAAAATTATTATTATTATTATTATTAATCGTTCTTATTTGCGTTTGCGTACATTTTACCAATAATAATAATTTCAAGCGTTTTTATTTTCCGAAAAAAAAAAAAAATTATTTTTAGTGTTTATATTTTATTTGTTTTTCAAAAAAAAAAAAAATAATAATAATAATAAATAATTTTAATTTTTATTGTATATAAAAAAACTTTTATAAGCGATCAAAACATAAAATAAAAAGGAAATTTGATGCTGCTGCTGTTGCTGCTGCTGCATCATTGGATATGACAATTAATATGATTGAGAACTTTGAAAAGCGTGAAACGAGTAAAACGATCAATAATAAATAAAGTTGCACCACAAAAAAAAAAAAAAAAAAAAGGAACCGTTTTCAACCTTTTTTATCTAGAAACCTTAAACGAAAAAAAAAAAAAAAAAATTTTTTTTTTATTACGTAATTTATATTTTAAATAGAAAAAAATGAAAAAGGAAATTACGAATGAGAGAGAGAGAAAAGAAAAAAGGAAAAAGGTTTAAAAAAAAAGAAAAAAGAAAAAAAAGAAAAAACGGAACCGAGAAAAATAAAAAACTTTTCATATTATTTTTATTAATGAAAAAAAAAAATGCCAAAATTTTTTACGGAAATTTTAGTTTTACCTTTTTCTTTTCCTTTTCTACAGCAAAAACAGCAACGACAGCAAAAAAAAAAAAGTAAAACATAATAATTGTTATTATATTAAAACATAATGTTCATTAAAAATTACAAAATAAATAATAATAACATCACCATTTACCACCCCTCCCCCCTGGTTTTTTATTATTTGTTATGCAATTACATTTTATTTAAAAAAATTTTTTTTTTCTTTTTATATATATATATATAATAAATATTTTATTAATAAATGAAAATTATTAATATTTAATGTGTAAGATGAAAGAGAAAAACGATTTAAATAAATTGCAAAAAATTAATAAAAAAAATTCATCTTAGATTAAATTACAATATTTTCATTTTTTAACAAAAGAGTGTTTAATGTGAGTATAAATGGAAAATGGAGATCGAGATAAATTCTATAATAAAAAAAAAAAAAGAACAGAATAAATAAATAAATTACTTAAAATTATTATTATTAATTACATATGTGCATTGTGCACTTTTAATTGATTTTTATTATTATCATTATTATTATCAGCATCATCATGGTAATCTTGGACAAGATATTTTATGTACTTTTTATATATGTGTCAGTCCTTTTTTTTTTTTTTTTAATCCCACAGGAAATAAGTCTTGATAATAAAATTTTTTTTTTTTTATATACATAAAAAAGACATAACGGTGCTGCTGCTGTTGCTGCTGTTGTTGTTGCTGCACAATCTACTACAAAATTTAAAAAATAAAAAAAAATTTTTTTTTTTTTTCTTTTCTTTTGTTAAATTTTTTTTTTATTATTTATAATTCCCGTATAAATCCTCGTTCAAATTTTTCATCATCCTTTCTTATTATTAATTTTTATCTCGAACGCGATAATTTTAGCCGGAATTTTTATTGATTTATTCGAAGATTCCTTT